ATCAGATCACATTTTATGACCAATTTGTGCAGAAATCCATATCATTCCAAAGTGTTCACATACTTTTTCTTGCAACTGTAGATACATCTAGCTGTATTTGTTTATATGGCTCTTTGATAATTGCATTTGTAGTCTTTTATGTATTCTCTTATATGAATATATAGTCTTTTTTGCATTTTTAATTTTGATCCTATTCAGAGACTGTAGAAGATTATTGTTAATGATTTATGATGATATATGGGATTGTGAAAATATTGAGCATAGCCTTATATATCTGTGTTTACATATATATATATATATATATATATATATATTGCATTTATATTAGTTTCACAATAAGGCTTTTTCTGCACAAGTATCCCTTTACTATTAGTATTTGCATTTTGAGCACTTTAGATTCACTATGATGCACTTTATGGCACATGTCACTTTTACTATTTGTCACTTTAAAATTCTCTATGCACTTTACTATTTTCGGCATTTATATGCTTAGGTCTGGTTTCTATTTACACAGACCGATTATATGTTCGTCCTGACACACATAGTAGAAACTATGAATTATGTTATACAGCTCCTATGATATATTTGGAGCACTAACACCCAGTTTTCATAACACAGTAAGAATCCACGGCGGTGTTGATCTGTTTCTATAGTAATCATTAGTGTGCCACATCTCCATGGTAACAGTGACGGCATGTACGTGATGACATCATCACTGGGGGCGGAGCTTTGTCAATTCCTAGCACCTGGGGTAAGTCAATTTCACAATTCTATACACATTATATAAACAAACTGTTTAAATGTATGTATTTATGATCCTGATGAAAGACCATGAGTGCAGCCATCTACGTTTTGTAAATCTCTCTATATATATATTTATATATTTTTTAACATTTTATCTTTTTCTATTCTATTAAAAATTTATTTTGTATACATGATTTGTGATGTCCATTGTGGAAACTGTTGGCTGTTTTAAAAGGTTTACAATCCTTTATCCACTATGTATCTCATTATTTTGTATTGTAATATTATTTACATATTAGTTGGGCATTTTTCGCGTGTCCGCACACACATGCATGATCACCTACATCCGTGGTATTGCATTTATTTGCTAGCTTTCAGATATTTTTCTTGACGCATGCACGTTGATGTTGCTGCGGGTGTTTGGTCTTGGTCATGGGCGTCGGGTCCGCTGAATGCACATGTCCAATTCCTTATGGAGATTGAGACGTCATTGTGCAGACGTCTTCTTGTGCATTTGATGTTATGTTGCTGACGTTACGCACATATCGGAAATGGATCCTTTGGTGGTAATTTTCCATATCTCTTAATTTTTCAATTTAATCTCAATTTATTTACTTAATTTAATTTATTTATCCAATTCTTAACTGATTGGTTTGTAACTTGTGGGATAGCTGACAGCCTCTTTGTTTGGGTAACTTACATTTGATTGTGTGAACTTGGATTTTTTTTTATTAATTATGTTAATTATGTTAATCACTTGTATTCCTATAAATTGGCATATATGTGTGCATTTGATAGCTTGACAAAGACCATTCAGGTAGAAATGTTGTGATTGGAGCTGGGTTTAAAAAATTGCCTTCTTTGAATCCTGGAGTGCCTCTTTCTATTTTTTGACTCTCCAGTTAATGTCTTACAGAGGCTATAAAAAGTAAAATATTTAATAGAGTTTCTATTTTAGTGATAATTAAAGGTTACCCCATGCACTGATTTGAAGTGTTCATAGTGCCAGGAGTCTGTATTTGCAGCATTACAAAGCAGACTCCTGGCACCATGCCCACTTTAAAACAGTAGAAACTGACCAATTGGCTGTCAGAAGTATAACTCTACCTCCAGCTGCCTCACGATCCAATAAAAAACAAAGAAAAGCACTACCCCAAATCCCTATGCATATTTAGACAAATGGAGCTTTTTTTTCACTCCAATGGCTGTTGGGTGTAAATATTTGTCACCGTTAATCTAAATATGCATAGAGATTTTGAGTAGTGCACAGGTAACTCTTTTCTATGGTTTTTATTGTGTGTACCATGGTCATTGCTGGTGCCTAGGAGTAGTGGGAGTCTTTGTATTAGCCTCATTAAGCAGCCCACATGGATAACATCAGCATGCACAGCATGTTTGCACTAGGCAGCCAAAAGCAGTATGCTCACACTTTGGGTAACCCTGACCCCCCCCTTCTCAGTCCATCCTTACTACCCTCCCTCTCAAACATGGAGAAGTGATGACAGCCAAGGAGGAACATGCTGAGGGGAAAGGTTGGACTCAGCAGTAGAATGGAGGTATATTTTTAGCATATATTTATTATCTTAACTTTGAAAACACTGTTTTTTTTTTTTTGGTTGGAGTAACCCTTTACATTTTTTTTTATTATAATTCCTTAACAGTATATAGGCAGAACATGTATTTGTGCATACAGTTGTGTTATCTGTTTGTTTTTTTTATAACAGTAGCTTTACTACATTGCTGCAGGACCAGTAATAATTACATGAAACACATTACAGAGGGTACAATATGTCAGTGTATCACAATATTTTTCAACACGTTATGCAATTCTGACTTCAATACTTTGCCTATCCCAAGACTCTGGCCTTCAACTCACAAAATATTAAATATTAATGATCTCCATTCTGACCTCTTTC